TATGTACAGAAGACCTTTAGGTAAAATGACACAGTAGGCAAAATGATTCACCTATTGTATAAAGATCTGGTCATTTACCTTGAGCATCGGAGTGTAGAAAATTTGATGGAGTCACACATTTTTCTCTTAAAATATGTCAAAACTGTGGATCCTACTTGTGCTACAGTATAAAATAGTTTTCTCTGTGTATCTACAAAATCAAATAAAAGCAGCAGCAGCAAGAGAAAGAGGAAGAGTAAGATAAGAAGGAGCAGAAAGAGAGGAAAAAGAATGCGGTGTGAGAAGGAAGAAGGGAATGTTGAAAAGGAATATAACAAGTAATAAGAGGAAAGAACAGGCAGGAGAAAAGAAAAGGTATCAACATAAATAGAACTACAAAGGACAAATCTCAAATAAGAAAAGTTACATACACAGTCTACCTAACTAAATGGCAAATATCTTAAATATCTACTTTATCTCTCCAGAATCTCAAAACTTCACACATAATGTTCTATAATTAGAATATACATGTATATAGTCATCCAAATTATATATTAGAAGAAACTTAGAGATTGACAATAAAAAATGAGAATTGGGTTGTAATTAGTCCAAGGTCAACTCACCAGTCTGTGCTAATAAAATAAGCACATTATATTGATTATAAAAACCTTAGCACTGACTTCTCTGGTCTTTTCTATATAAGTTAACTCTAATACGTATGGTATAGATCAACTATGCTGGTTTCACAAGTGTTTTGAATCAATGAAGGAAAAACATGATCACCTTACGTTGTTCTATTTCTTCCCATACAATTCCTAAATGTCATCTTGAAAATATGGACTAAACTGAATGTGAAATAATACAACTTGATTATAGGAATCAGGCTTTCTTAAATCATGTCTTCATCTTAGATTAGTCTAGATAGAGTGAAAATGCTAGTGGCAGGCAGAAAAATTATGACATCTAAAATCCATTTTGTATCTATTGTTGTCATATTTATTGCCACTTTCAATGAATACAATTATTTTTAAATAGCTTACACCATTTCCATATGCATCACTGCTGAATTGCAGGAAAAACAGCTAGCATCATTCAAGAATGGTCTCAGGCACAAATGAAGTATAGAACAGGTATGTCATTGTCACATCTCACCTTTGTTTTATATGATCTTTTACTCCTTGAAGATATATCCCTTTAGTGTCTGACTAGTGAGATGAAATTCCAGAGGCTTGAGTTCACCTCAAGTCAAAAGAGAATGACCTACCCAGTGTCATGCAATACCACTGAAAAATTTCTCTCTCTCTCTCTCTCGCTCTCTGTGAGTGTGTATTCCAGGTTCAAACCTATATTCAATATGGAAATGAAGGATTCTTATAGACAAAATCAAGGAAAAAATCTGTGGACATTTTGGAGATTCCATAACTATTGGAAACCGATATATATTGAGAGAGAACTGTATATACAATTTAATTATATATAATTGTATATAATATATAATTATTATATAATATATCAATAAAAGAGCTTACAGGGAAAAGTGTATCTGTATAGCAGAGGTTTTTAAACTTTAAAACTTACTAAGATATACTCAATCTGAAAACATGAATAATATTTCTATGATTGAATGCAACCAGGGTTTATAGTAACTTTAAGGGCTATTAAGCAAGTTCCTATATGAATCCAGAGAGTGAATTGTATAAGCATTTAGAATGTGCTGATGATAAAGGGATTCATAAAAGTTGTTACACTGATTTTATGTTGATGGATGTTTAAGTGTAAGGTGAGTTATTAAGCAGCAGCAAGTGAAACTAATGCTGAAGTGTTATGATATATGTGTAATTGAAAATGAATTTTCTTGGCAAAATGAACATCAGTGAAAGAGAAAGAATGAGGGGGTACAAATAAAGATAATAATGCAGAGAAATCTATTTGCAATGCCAGTACAACTTGCCAAGTTTCACATAAAGCTAGGTCTTCCTACCCTCCAAAAGAATTGAGTCCAAAAGTAGTTGAAGTGTTATATAGATTTACAGTATGTTCAATAGGTGATACTCAGTTCTGTTTCATAATTAGATCCACTCAATCTCTCTTCTTACTCTTCACTATACATCTTTTCTATTCTTCCCAGTTTGTTGACTTCTTGCCAGCCTCCTTTTTATGCTGCTTATTAGTAACACTATTGAACAAGTCATTTACCTTTTCTTTGAGTGCTGTCCTAATTAATGACAGAATAAAAATCTCTGAATCTATGCAAGAGCAATTTATTCAGAATTTAGATTCTAAAGATCACTATGAAGAACCCACAGCATTATCTTGAAATAATGATGATACAATAGAGACATAAGAGGCAATAATACATTTCTGACTCTCCTTGCCTTTTCATTATTCTATGGTCCTTTTCACTGTTTTTTAATAAGTTTTTATTAAATACCATACAATTACACGAGCAAGGTAATGAGTACATTTCTTATCAAGCATTGTTGCCTCCTCCTTTGTTTTTCCCTTACCATCCCTGCCCTCCCATCTCCATGACTACACCACCCCTCCCCCAAGTTATAAAGTTTGTTTTTCGACATAGCGTCTTGTACATCTCATTGCTGCAATGGGTCCACCAGTAGCTCTATCTAAACAACTTGTTTTTTTTCCTTTCCCCTCCCCAAATTATACCAACAGAAAATACAATGCAAACTAGCATGTGGAAAGCAGGATTAAAATACCCTACAAATGAATACAAATAAACAGAAAATACAAAATGTTAATCACAGAAATGTTAAAATATTGATGGTGCTATTTGTTGATTGGTTGGATAGCTGATTGGTTGGTTGGCTGTTTAACACCAAATAAGCCTACACAAATTGTGGACAAGTGGCTCATGTCTCCCAGGAGGCTGAGATTAGAAATCTAGTTAGGAGCCAGTCCATGCATAAAATCTCTAAAGATTCTATCCACAATTGATCAGAAAAAGCCAGACTGAAAGCCTCACTCAAGTTTTAGAACACCAGATATGAAGAAAAAGCTGTAAAAGAACACAAGGGCCTGGCTTACTTCACTTAATATAATTTGTTCCAGGTCTTTCCATTTCCTAACAAATGGGGCAATGTCATTCTTTCTGATGGAGGCACAGAATTCCATTGTGTATATATACCACATTTTCTTGATCCATTCATCTACTGAGGGGCATCTGGGTTGGAACATAGATGGAACATGGTTTCCCTTATTTGCAATAACTAGTATGTGTCTGGGACAAGCAAAAAAGGTCAGATAAGATGACGTTAAGCGAAATGATCCCAAAAATAGGGACACAAATGGTTTTTCTTGCTTGCTATTGTTCCTAAAGTATTTATAAGGTACCATATGATTTTTTTTTGTTGCATTGTATGTCCCTCCCCTATGGTATAAACCTGTTTTCACTTTATTTGGGGAAAGGAAGGGAAGGGAAAAAACAAATTGTTTAAATAGTGATACAGATTGATCCATTGGAATAATGAGATGTATAAGACTCTATGTCCAAAAATGAACTTTACAATTTAGGTGGGGGTGGGGGGGTAGAGGGTGGGGGTGGGGATGGAGGGGTGTAGCTGAGGAGGTGGGAGGGAAGGGATGGTAGCAGAAAAACATAGGAGGAGACATTAATGCGGGATAAGAAATATACTCATTGGAGTTGCCTGAGGCGGGTCTTGAGGCGGCTTTGTGATGTTGGGGGAACCCCAAGTCTGGTCCGGCGCCGAGATGGAGAGCCACGTGTACAGCATCTGGCATCTCCGCCTTTGCTGTCCAGGGAGCTGCAAACAAGATGGAGAGGAATGTGGAGAACAGCGACCAAGGAAGGAATGGAAGTCAGCTCCATGAGTGTCTTGTCTCCGGATGATCTTCCAGTTGCCAGGGTGACAGTAAACAAGACTTCGCTGTCCCAGGCCCAGGCCCAGAATATGTCCAAAAGCTCGTTAGCGCCAGTGCTTCGGGTTAGCTGGAGACTCAGACCACCTTCACTTCTGTCCCTGGGAATGAACTCTTACCATTATTTCCCTGTTACCATGGTCAGATCGCTGCCCTTAATGTCTCACAGTACTTGCTACCTGCTTCAGGGAGCAGGTTCCATCTCCTGACTCTTCAGTGTATGGAATTTATCCATGGCATTGAGGCAAACAAACTGCTTGTTTTCAGTTAAAGTTTCTCCCTGCCTTGTGTATTTAAGAGCTAATAGGAGCAGAGAGCTGGTGGCTCACACCTGTAATCCTCGCTACTCAAGAGGCTGAGATCTGAGGATCTCAGTTCAAAGCCAGTCAGAGCAGAAACATCTGTGAGACATTTTTTTTTTTTTGGTTAGTCATGGGGCTTGAACTCTGGGTCTGAGTACTGTCCATCAACTCTTCAGCTCAAGGCTAGCATTCTACCACTTGAGCTACAGAGCCACTTCCATCTGTGAGACTCTTATCTTCAATTAACCACCAGAAAACCAGAAGTGGCACTGTGGCTCAAGTGGTAGAGTGCTGACCTCGAGCTTAAGAGCTGAGAGACAGCGCCCAGGCCCAGAGTTCAGGCCCCATGACTGGACCAATAAAAAAAAAAAAAGAGGTTATAGGAGCCAGCCACATCTTTGACGATGTGGCCATAATCTTCACCAGGGAAGAGTGGGCTTTGTTGGAATCTTCCCAAAGGAACCTCTACAGACATGTGATTTTGAGAACCTACAGGAACGTGGCCTTTCTAGGAATAAAAGAGGAAGGAGAACACATTAAAGATGACTACAAAAATCCCAAAAGAAATACGAGAACTGAATGGTTAGAGAAAGCTTGTGAAGGGAAAGGAGTCACTCTGTATAGAATCCTTCCAGCAGATTGAAGTAACAACATGTAAAAATCATGCATTTGAAGAAACCATCAGAAGTCATTGGCCCATCACTGTTCCCTTCAAAGATCACACTAGACCCAAAACTTTTGACCCTCAGAAATATTTAGCAAGGCATTATAATGCTACGGAGTGCAGAAAAGCCATGAGGAGGTTGAGTGACATTCAAATCCATGAGTGAGTTCATGTCAGAGACAAACCCTGAGTGTCAGCAGTGTGGGAAAGCCTTCAGTACTTCCAGGGACCTTCAAGAGCATGAAAGAACTCACAGTGGGGCGAAGCACAGCCGGTATCAGCAGTGTGAGGAAGCCTTTATCTATTTTAGTAGCCTCAGAAGCCACGAAAGAACTCACACTGGGGAGAAGCCCTATGAGTGTCAGCAATGTGGAAAAGCCTTCATTATTTCCAGTGCCCTTCGAAGACATGAAAGAACTCCCATGGAAGAGAAACCCTATGAATGTAAGCAATGCGAGAAAGCCTTCATTTGCTCCAGTGCCCTTGGTAGCCACAAAATGACTCATAGATGATAGAAGCCTATCAGTGCTGCAGTTGGGGAAAGCATACAGTATCCTCAGTGTCCTTCACACACACGTGAGAAGTCACACTGATGAGAAGTGCGGGAAACATTCGCTAGTTCCAGTGCCCTTGGAAAGCATGAGAGAACTCACACTGTGGAGAAACTCTTCCGTTGCCAACAGTATTGGAAAGCATTCACGTGTTCTGGTAACCTTCAAAAGCATGAAAGTATTCACACTGCAGAGAAACTGTATTGATCTGAGTAATGTGAAAAAGTCTTTACTTGTTCCAGTGGCCTTCGAAGCCAGGAAAGAAGCCATAGTGGCAAGAATTCCTGTGTGTGTAATCAGAGTGGAAGTCTTCACTTTGTCCAGTTGACTTCAGAGACACCAAAGAATTCACACTAGAGAGAAACCTTAGGGATGTAAGCAGTGTGGGAGAACCTTTACTTGTTCTATTGACCTTCAGAAACTCCAAATAACTCACACTGGGGAGAAACCCTACAGATGCGCGCAGTGTGGGAAAGCCTGCTCTTGTTCCATTCACCTTCAGGAACACGAAAGAACTCACACTGGGTGGAAGAAGTCCTAGCGGTGTCAGCAGTGTGAGAAAGCATTGACTTTTTCCAGTGTGTGTCGAAGATGAAAGAACTCACTGATTGAAGGGACAGCTTCCAGTCATCAATATGGAAACATACCTAGTGCACTGTAACCATCAATGTGGATTGTTGGAACGGTTTGGCCATCAGAACCTTTCTAGATATCCTCAAATACAGCATGAGCAGAACTTTCATCAAGGAAATGCCTGTCCTGATGATTGCAGTTTTCTTACTTCAGTAGACAGACACAAGAGAGGTGGTGTGGACAGAAATAGTGAATAAAAGAGATATTTGGAAGATATTCAAAGATACTGGCATGGAGAAACTATCTCTGTGTTCAATATTTACTGTTTTTTTGATGATTTTCTAAAAGAAATTCAAGTAGTAGTTCAAAGGGGTTTCCATTCAACATAGCAGTTTATGAGTGTAATGCATCTTGGCCTCCTCCCAGGCAGGCATGGTCCACGGAAGAGGAACCAGGAGGAGAATCTGCTGTCTGTGTGCTGCTTTGTGCCGGCTCCATTGCTGAATCCCACGCAGAGCCAAAGAAGCACATAGCCACCCTGCAAGACCATGCCTGCAGTCTCAGCTCCATCTTTAGAAGCTGGTGGACACATGAACATAGTGGGAAGACCTGGAAGAGTTCCAGAAAACAAAGCTGGGGAAATGGCTCAGCACATAGGCTCTCACTTCAGCTCTCTGTGTGGATAAGCGCTGGCCAAATGCTTGACTATTGAGCTACACTTGCACTTCCAGAATAGCATCAGAGAGTTGACCACAACTTTGCCACCATCCAGTTGTACCTATCCATAGAGAAGCTGCCACCTGAAAGATCCTGGGAGATGAAACACTGCAGTCAAAACCTTGCACAGAGGTACATAAGTCTTCATACAGAAATATTAATGTAATGAAAGCACAAGGACATTTGTCACCTGCAATACAAAGTTCTACCATGCCGGAATTGAAGGAAAGTGGTGTAGATGAAAACCTAAGCAATGGGCTCACAAGGTGACGGTCAGTGAGATTAAGGAGATGGGTAAGCACCTGACTGAGGTCAAATGAAGAGCCAGCTGATGGAACACAGAGAGGAAGCCACAAATGAATGGAATGAGGTTTAACTTCAAGAACTACCAGTATGTGGTGGCCTTGGCTTTTGCAGTTGAAGAGATCAACAGAAACCCCCATCTTTTGCACAATGTGACTCGGGATTTGAGATCTACCTAATGGATTACTGTCCATTGTTTTTGTTGTTGTTGTTTTTGGTCAGTCGTGGGGCTTGAACTCTGGGCCTGAGCGATGTCCCTGTGCTCTTCAGTTCAAGGTGAGGGCTCTACTGCTTGAGCCACAGAGCCACTTCTGGTTTTCTAGTAGTTTTATTGGAGATAAGAGTTTCACGGGCTTTTCTGCCTGGGCTGGCTTTGAACCATGATCCTCAGATCTCAGCCTCCTGAGTAGCGAGGATTACAGGCATGAGCCACCAGAACCCGGCTACAGTGGTCCATTGTTAGTATTGGAAAATCCCTTCCTCTGGGTCTCTGGGAAGCATGGGCTCCCCAGTTACACACGCAGGGAAGCGAGCAAGTTGGCAGCTACGCTGACGGAGCCATCAGCCCTCACCTCTTCCAAGATCAGCACTCTGCTGCACTCTACATATTTCCACAGCTGAAAAACCTTCAATTTGACACTCCTGCTGGAGATCACGTCATTCTGGATGATGAAAGGAAGCTCGAGGCTGAGTATGACATTGTGAATTTTCAGGATTTTCCAGAAGGTCTTGAACTAAAGGTGAAAGTGGGAAGGTTTTCTCCATATGGCGCATGTGGCCAACAGCAGTCCTCGTCTGAAGATGTGATCAAGTGGACCCTGGCATTTGCACACACATGGACCAGTGCACAATGTGTGCAGATCATCAGTACGCCAACCCTGAGAGAATCTGCTGCCTGCTGAAAGTTGAGAGCTTCCTGGCTTATGAAGACTCTTTGGGCACGGCTCTGGCCTGCACCGCTCTCTGCTGCTCTGCACTCATAGCTGTTGTTCTAGGGGTGTTTGTCAAGCACTAAGACACCCCCATTGTCAAGGCCAATAACTGGGCCCTCAGCTACATCCTGCTCATCTCCCTCACCTGCTGCTTCCTCTGCTCCTTGCTCTTCCTTGGCCCTCCCCACACAGCTACCTGCATCCTGCAGCACATCACATTCGCAGTGGTCTTCACCGTGGCTGTGTCCACAGTCCTGGCCAAGACCCTCACTGTGGTTCTGGCCTTCACGCTCACGGCTCCAGGGAGAAGCACCAGGCATTGGCTGGTGGCCCAGGCTCCTAACCTCCTCATCCCCATCTGCACCCTCATCCAGGTGACTCTCTGTGGCCTTTGGCTGGGAACCTTTCCTCCCTTCATGGACACAGATGCACACTCTGAACATGGCCACGTCATCATCCTGTGCAACAAGGGCTCCCTCACCGCCTTCTACTGTGTCCTGGGATACCTGGGCGTCCTGACCCTGGCCAGCTTCACAGTGTTTTTCCTGGCCAGGAACCTGCCTAACACCTTCAATGAGGACAAGTTCCTCACCTTCAGCATTCCGGTGTTCTGCAGTGTGTGGCTCACCTTCCTGCCTGTCCACCACAGCAGCAAGGGGATGGTCATAGTGACCGTGGAGGTCTTCTCCATCTTGGCCCTCAGTGTGGGCCTCCTGGGATGCATCTTTGCCACTAAGTGCTACATCATCTTGTTGAGGCCACACAGAAATTCTCTGCAAGGATTCAGGGCTAAATCCCATTCTGGGAGAAGTAAACCTTCTTAAGGTTGAACACAGACTTCCTAAAATTTATGAAAGGTGTAAGGTGAATGTGTTCTGTTTTTCCAGCCAGATGTTTATACTCAGAGATATGCTTGACCTTCATTTCTCTATATTGTAACCCAAGTTCCTGTAAATTTGCATGATATTCTAGATAACTGTGCCTCTCATTTAATTTGTGACTTTTCCTGTCATTCCCTCCTTCAATGCACCTGTCCATCTTTTTCTGTCTTCCCCTTTGCTTTCTCAAGTTACTTTTTCTGAACTTTAAATGGAACCTTACCCTACCAGATTCCTGTCTGAGCCTCTATAGTGCCGAGTTCTCTAACTTTTCTCATTAACATGTTTCCCTTAAAAAGTTCTGTATTTTGAACAAATGTGCAGATTATAGTAAAAAAAAAAAGAAAAGAAAGAAAGAAGAAATGTACTCATTACCTTGCTCATGTAATGGTAACCCCTTTGTACAGTATTTTCACAATAAAAAAGAACGCAAGGCCCTTAGTTCAATACTCACTACTGGCTACATAAATAGACAAACAAATAAGTCTAAAATAAGGAGTAAAGGAGAGAAGACACTGGGAAACACGAGGAAAAGGTGAGAACTTCAAAACTTGTTCAGAGCATTATATAGAACTCTTCTACAAAAAGGGTGGATTTTTTTGGGGGGTCGTGAGGATTGGACCCAGGGTTTGGGTGCTGTCCCTGCGCCTTTTTGTTCAAGGCTGCCACTCTAACACTTGAGCCACAGCTTCACTTCTGGCTTTTTTGGTGGTTAATTAGAGATAATCAATACAGAAAATCTCATAGACTTTACTACCTTGGCTGACTTCAAACTGTGATCTTCAGATTTCAGATTTTTCTGAGTAGCTAGCATTACAGACACGAACTATGGGGACCTGGAAAGTTTTATTTGCATTTTTTTCACTGTAGGAAGTGTTTGAGGTTTGAATTCAGAAGGCCACTTGGCATGTAATCAGTTTGAAACCTATGAATAATATAAATAAAATAAAATGAAGTCACTGAAAATAATCATGTTTTTTTACAGTGGAATAGTTCACCAACATTTTTAAAAAATTGGAAAGGGAATAATTACTTTCTCTAAAGAATATAATTAATAAATGACAGAATATGATAATCAACAAATGGTATCTATCACTGGTTTTTGACAAATTGTAGGTACTGGAAATTAGAGGAGCTGTTTTATTGTTTGATAGTGTTGTAATTCTAAAACTTATTATTAAATAGATTATGAGTCATGTTGGATCTGTCATGCTTGAACTGTCCTTTTATAAAGTAGCTTGTTGGATAAAATGTACTTGTTATATCTACATGGTATTGCTTTTGTCAAACTTCTCTATATCTTCAATAACATCCTTTCAGCTTTAGTGAGGAAACGTGGATTATTTGATGAGAGACACAAAATGGTGCAACTTAGATGGAAAACAGACTCTATCACCCCTTCATTCAAAATATCATAATAACCATTCTTTGTCAACCTAGAATAGTCTGCATACATTTTGTTTCCAGAATTTTACTATTGATTCTGGAAAGCCCAGATCTGACAAATATTTACATGATGACATTAAAGTTATACTTATCAAAATTAGAATTATACAAAACTAAGACAAATCAACCATGTCATAGCTGACTCTGGAGTCAAAAATTTCTTCCTAGTTGAAACAATAGCTTATCACAATAGAATTAAACTGGAATAACTTGTGTTTTGAAGTTATTTCCAAAATGATTTGTTTAATGGTTAGGGGTAGTGAAAACATAGATTTTAGAACTTCCTTGCAAAAAGATCTTGGACAGTTAGTTAGCCAGGAAAGCACATGTAATGCAAATAAACTTAGACTTCATTAATGTATAGATTTTGTTAACTTAATGAGCATAGTTCTGTGGAGGTCACTTCACCTCTGAGGCGCATGCTTCATTAATGATTTTGTGTTTTTGAGAAGCACTTGTAAAATTAGAAGTGAGGGTCAGAGAAAGTTGTTCAATATTGCAAATGGTCTAGGAACTCTTATACTCAAAGAGCTGTCAAAGGAATAGCTATTCAACTCCTGAAGACAAAACTGAGGATGATTAATGCCTAAATCAGGAGAAGTGGAAATGCAACCGCTTTTAATCTCTTCCCTTCCACATAACTGAAATTGAACAACTACAAGGAAGTTACAAGGATGATAGTTTTGACTGAAATGAGAACACTTTCAATATATGAAGACCTTGTCCTCAGTATAATACTAAAAAGAATTGTTGCTGTACTATTTTAGCCAAAGATAAGTTTTAAGGGAAAAGTTTTGGTGTGAATTTAGAGTGAAAATTTGTATGAAAGTGTTCATACTGTGCTCCATTATTCAAAATTACATAATTCTGCTTGCAAGCTAAATATATCCAAATTCTTTTTCTGTACAGGTCATAAGGAATTACCTGAGACAAACAGACTAGAGGACATTGTCCTCTGCCCCATCATTTATATACTCTAACATAATGAGAAAATACCTTTAGAAAACAAAACTACAATTAATATTAATTAACTTTAGATCCTTATTCTTCAACAAATCTATTTTGGGATGTGTAGAACATGGTATTGGAAAAGCTAATATACTCCCCCTCCTCTCCTTCCCCTTCCTCCTCCCCCTTCTACTCCCCCCTCTTCTTCCTCCCCTTCCCTCTCTTCCCCCCTCCCCCCTCCTCCTCCCCTCTTTTCCTCCTCTCCCTCCTCCTCCTCCTCCTTCTTTGTAAAAGTTCACTTCTATCATCATTTATTAATTTATTAAAATGTTTACATCCTAATTATTACCTTGATTAAATGAATAATCTTAATAAATAATGACAGGTATACATATACATGTACATTGTATATGTCACTGGATAGTGCCATCTATAAAAGAAAAAGTAACTTAACAAGAGGCATTAAGGTACAGAGTTCTCACTCTAGAAATGAACACAGTGATAGGTTTTTTTGCTTTATTTATTTTTTTTTCTAATGGGCCCCATTGTCTATATGAAGAAAATCTGAAATAAAAAAGGAAGTTGGGCTGATATAGCAAACCTTCAGTGTCTGGCATTAGAAGCTTAGGCATGAAATTGAAATCTATGGAGCAAAATTTTACATATTCAAATAACTCTAATTGTAAGTATATTTCTAAGGTTTTTCTAATCAACAGCTAAATTATCACCAGCTGCTGGTTGTGAATAAATAAAAAAGGGCTATTCTTGGCTTTTAGAAACCTGGGTGATTGCTTAAAATGCATTTGCTATTTGCAAGATATTTGGGAGCAATCACCCCAGTGTTGTATTGATGTAGAGTGGTACTCAGGGCACGACAGCCAGCTGTTTCAGTATCAGGGGTTTCCTGGTAATGTTCTACCTCAAACCCTTGTTATTTGCATGTCTTTGAAAAAGTCCTTCTATGAACCTGTTTCCTCATCTGAAAACTTTTCAAACTTCCATTTAGCATTATTACATAAATCAAGAAATCTTTTGTGTTTTGCTTGAATTTTGCACTTTGCCTTATTAAAAGTCAGAATACTAAGGGATTATTATGCTTTGCTTTATTATAACTCCATTTTATTTGTTTATTGTTTATTTAGATTTTAGCTTCCTGAAGTACAAAATACCAGGGACAATGATTTAGGCCTAACATCCTTGCTACTGAGGAGGTAAGCAATCTGGAGGTTTGTAGCAAAGGTCAGTGGACAGAAAAGTTCACTAGAACTTATCACACAAAAAAGAGAAGAGCTGGAGGCATGTCTCAAGTAGTAGAGCATAAGCCTAGCAGTTGTCTAAAAGTATTCAAACTACAACTCCAATCTACAAAAGCTTGGGAATTGCTTACTGGGAATTGATATGGGAAAATTGCTTAATGGAAAATTGGTTATTGGGAAAAGATATAATCATTAAAATTCATAAGAAATTATGGACAGGATAGGATAGAAAATTGGGTAGTTGAACTATTGTGACAGTTGGAGAAAAACTATGACTTGTATTTAATTATTTAAATGCATCAAAGAAGAAACTATAAACAGAATTCTTTTTTTTATAAATTTAATTTTATTTTGTTTGTGAACATACTGTACAGAGGAGTTACAATTACATGGGCAGGATACTGCGTACATTTCTTACCAAGCATTGCAGCCTCCTCCTTTGTTTACCCTTCACATCCCTTCCCAGCCTCTCCCCTCCCCCCTAATCCCAATCCT